CCGCGGAGCAACTAGGCCCGTGAGCCACAACTACTGAGCCTGCGTGTCTGGAGCCTGTGCTCTGCAACGGGAGAGGCCTCGATAGTGAGAGGCCCGGGCACCACGATGAAGAGTGGCCTCAGCTTGCCACAACTAGAGAAAGCCCTCACACAGAAACGAAGACCCAACACAGCAAAAATAAATTAATTAATTAATAAACTCCTACCCCCAACATCTTCTTTGAAAAAATAAAAAAATAAAAAATGTGTTGTTTCTGTTATTAGGAAACTAGGTAATTTTGAACACATACACAAATATATTGATAAAATAAAAGAAATTAGCACTTATTTGTTTGAAATATTTTGCTGCAAAAATTAGAGATTGTTTCTTTCTGTTTTGGCATGAAAATCCACGAGTGGGCAGAAAAATTTTCAGCTGAATTTTCTCCAACCCATAAAACGCAAACCACACAACTAATTTATGCTTAGTTTTCAATAGACAGCTAGTTCCATTCCAATTAAACAGAATAGCCATGATTACATTTTTTAGAAGAGAAATAAACTGATTTTTAAAAATAGAGTCTGAGGCTGTATAATCAGAGCCCCCATCTGTGTGTGCTCTTGTGTGCCCAACAGTGGGCTAAAGGGTTTGCAGGCATTATGAGTTAAGGGTTATGCAGACTGGAAACCCAGGGTCCAAAGAGGATAAATAGCTACTCAGGACTACCTGCTGCCGTGGCAGAATTCAGACTGAACATCGCGAGCCACGTTTTTAAACCACCACTCCACACAGCTTCCTTAGAGCTACTGCAGATATTTATGTGCCAATCTTTTCCCTGAAAAATATGTTACTTTGGCTTATAACCTCCATAAAGACAATTGACGAAAGATGAAAAACGACGGAGAAGCAAGTGGGGAAATGTCCCATCCAAGACGGCCAAAGCGCATCAGTGGTGAGCAAACGAAGGCCGAGACAGAACAGGAGGTTCTATAAGATTCTGTGCATAGAAAGTTCAGAAAGAAACAAAGCTAACCTGCAGCGTTAGAAGTCGGGAGAGAGGCTGGTTTTAGGTTGGGTTGGGGACAGATAATTAAGGAACTCAAAAGTTCCCTTAACAAGACTCCACTGTAGTTCTATCGGGGGGTGTCCTTCCCTCTCTCTGACCTTAAGGGCAGGTGATGGTGCCGCCGGTCGGCTCGGGGGGGTCTCGGTCTTTAACTACACGCGGACTCCTGGGCTGCAGGCAGCTCTCCGAGCCCTTGACTATCAGCGATCTGTTTCTCTCCACCCCACACAGACGAGAGGATGGAGTCCCAGGGCCTGGGGACTCCCCAAGGTCATGCAGCCATTAACAATTCACCTATTCAACACGTGGTCCCCCAAAATGTATACGGCAAATATGTTAACTTCGTTTATTCAAATGTCTACTATGAGCCTCAATTTTTCCTCTTTTGTTCCGGATTCCACCCCTTCCCACCTCCTCTGAAGCCGGGATTCCTGATCTGTGCTTCTCTCACCGATATTTAAACAGCCCCAAGCATCTGGTATCTTACAAAGATCTCCCTGGACCTGCCCTCCCCTCCCAGCCTCTGCCCTCCCCTCCGCCGCGCGCCCGAGCTCCGCCCGCAGGCATCGGACTCCTGGCCTGAACGCCTCGTCCCCGTCCACCCCGCAGTCACCACCCTGGACCTCTTCCCCAAACTCACCACGGCCATAGCATCACCGGCATCGCCATCCTCCAAAGGCTGCTCCCCGGGCCTGTCTGAGGCCTTTTCTGCATCTCACACTATCCGTAGATCTCTGGGCTCAAGTCAGTTAAGTCGGCAGTTCTTAGCCTGCACGGGGTCATGCACGAGGACCTCTAAAAGGGTGGGGTTTCCTATTATTTTTTTTAGGTTTCTCATTTTTACATCATTGTTTTTAAATGAAACTGATTAAATGCGTCAGGCCGTGTTGTTATTTTCTAAACAGGGCTCCCAGGTGCCCACACATTCCTCTCCCCACCAAGTTCATTTGGACTTCTTATTTAAGGCAGCAATACCATAGGCTCCAAGTTCAAAAAGACATAAATGGTCTCAGGATCTCAGCTATCAGTTCAGAAAATGAATATTTACACATGTATACATATATGGTAATCTGATTTCAATAGTATGAGCTCTGCTACATATGTCTTTAATTAAAAAAAACACAGATTTTTCATATTTCAGTTTTAACAAAATTCACGTTTCAGATGAATGCAAATAAAAGTAACGAATTCTGAATAAATGTACTAAATATTATTAAATTAGAATTATAAAAGGGGACCTTGTACATGATTATTCAACAAACGTGTTACAAAAAATCATATCGAAAATATCATTTCTCTTTGGCATGCTCAGACATAATTTACATAATTAAATATATAATTCACACATCTATGGAATGTTAACCATACAAGAAAATAATATATATAGCAAAAATAAAGTAGAATAGCATAAATTTTAATATTCTATTTGCAATATGTGAATTAAACTTTGTATTAAAAAATTTCAAATTACTATATACACCAAAATAAACCAAGGAAGATCGCATCCTATGCTAGGACACAGCTCACCAGTTATTTCTGAGAAGTCTCTTATTTTACTCATCTTAATACACCATAAAATTAGAAGTTTATCTCTTTTTTACAGTTAGTACGATTCCAGGTACTATTTTTCCTTCGAATTAGATTTATGTTCTTAAGAAATACCTATGGGAGGGAGGAAGAAAAGTGTCATTTATGACCTAGTTTTTAACATATTTAAACATATGCATAGTTTTAATATAGTTATATTTTATTTTATTTTGTTTAAAGAATCTGTGGACTTTTACTTTACAGTCAAATCCTGAGAATGTAGATTAATGTGTATGTGGAGGGGATTGATCGGTACTTTTAGAAAGTTTAAATGATGACTTCCACCGTTAAAGTTTTAAGATATCTGCATAAGCCAAAAAATGAACTTGACATCACCTAAATAACTCAAAAATATTCCTAAAATTTATTCATCTGTAATACTCTAATTCCTTGCTAAATACTTGGAAACAGATACTATCAGAGATGACTCCTCCAGAAAAAAACTCACTAAATCTCCAAACTCTGCAATTTTAAAGGGGCCTGTTTATCAGGTCTGTCCTCTATGAATCTTGTCCCAGGAGAATGTAAGTTTGCATAAGATATTTTAATTTATAATACAGTACTTGTTTTTTTGAAAAGTTTTCCAGTTATTAGGTTGCTTTTTGGACTTTATGTACATTTACTCATTCGGATAAAATATATCAAAACAAAGAACAAGATAAACGTGGCTTGACTGATTGATTGATTTTCTTTTTTTTTTTTTTTTTTGCAGTACGCGGGCCTCTCACTGTTGTGGCCTCTCCCGTTGCAGAGCAACAGGCTCCGGAGGCGCAGGCTCAGCAGCCATGGCTCACGGGCCCAGCCGCTCCGCTGCATGTGGGATACTCCCGGACCGGGGCATGAACCCACGTCCCCTGCATCGGCAGGTGGACTCTCAACCACTGCACCACCAGGGAAGCCCCCTGATTTTCTTTTTAAACATGACTTGACTTAGGTCACTTCAAGAGCCTAATGAGTTTTCTTGATTTATTCATGTTTTGCATTATTCAAAAGGTTTGAGATGGGATGAGAGTAACTGATTTGAATATCTTGCCACTGAACACTGAAATGATCGAACTGATTTTCTTAATCTAAAAAAAAGGGAAAATTTTTCGTTCAGCAAATTTAAATATGCAGAATTGAGTGTCAATTATTAATTTATAATTGCTTTTTCAATAAGAATAAGAAAAGCAACATCAACAATAGGCCAGAATTGTCTCAGTAATTGTCACAGCAAACCTATCAGATCCTATCACATCCCCATGCAGTTACTGGGATAAATTAAGTTACATTGGCCAGATCGAGATATTCACAGATACTTCCAGACTACTCCAGGACTTTGATTTCCACCCTAGAAAGCGGAGGACCCTTTTTGTGTGTGTGTGTGTGTGTGGTATTCGGGCCTCTCACTGTTGTGGCCTCTCCCGCTGCGGAGCACAGGCTCCGGACGCGCAGGCTCAGCGGCCATGGCTCACGGGCCCAGCCGCTCCGCGGCATGTGGGATCTTCCCGGACCGGGGCACGAACCCGCGTCCCCTGCATCGGCAGGCGGCCTCTCAACCACTGCGCCACCAGGGAAGCCCAGCGAAGGAACTTTAAAAGGGACTTGTCCGGGGTACTGGAACGCTGACGACACCCCTCTTCCCCGCTCCCACCCCCCAAATGTTGAGTCCGTACTACACCAGAAAGAACTACTGATTAGAAAGGTATTTGCAAAGGAATGAACACCTTTCAGTCTTTTGTATAGACTCTACTTTTGTAAATAAATGTGAGAATTTGCTTCTGATTTATCGAGGTCATACAAATACTTTATTGCCCTAGGGTTCCAAGGGTCATTTAAGCCAGAATGAAATTTCTGACTTCATTTCACTCTGGCAAAATGCTGACATGTTCACTATATGTTTGAATGTTTTGCTTTTTCTTCTATTCTTCTAATACTTCCTCTCTTATTTTAACCTATATTTTTGCATAAATCAAAAATTTAGGGCCCTACTTTTATTATATCTACTTTTATTATACTCTGACCAGTTAAAAAAAAGGTAGACCTTTAAATAGTTTTGTTCATCTAGTGTGTATATGCATACGGTTTCTGCACAATAATGACATAACATCAAATGTTGAAATATTTTTAAAAAATCACTGAGGACTCGTAAGGCTGCCAAAAAGCTGTTTCTATTAATTCAATCACTGTTGAGGACTTTTTTTTTATTAATTCAGTAAACCATTTAGACCAAGCTTTAACACTAAGTGGAAAATCCACAGGTTAAATTTATTTGGTGGTGCTAAAATCAGCTTCCTGGGCTTTTTAAATTGTTCAAAATTTCTTAAGAGAGTCAGGCTGTTAAACAGAATAAGAAAAATTAATAAATACATACTCACATGTAGGTCTTCTATGCCTGTGAGCACAGAGGACTCACTGCTAATCTTTTGAGCAATCTAGCACATCTTTTGTAATCTAGGAGAAACATTTAAAAGTAAATTGTGTATATGGTTACTACAAATGTGGGGAGAATCATGTTAAATTATTGTCGCTAATTCTTAGTAATGATAGCCATAATTTAATAAACATCTAATATAGCAAGTACGTAACCTGGATTTTCTCAATGATTCTCCTGATGATGTAAGCAGCTAAGATGTTACTGTCATCTTCACTTTAGAGATGAGAAAACAGCCTCAAAATGTTAAGAATCTCATAGCTAGTAAGCAGTTTCATTCCAAAAGCCCAGAGTTTCTCCACCATATGCTGTGCTACCACTTAATCATTCTGCCTAGATGCCAACAAGATTCATTTTCTCTAGTCATCAAACACAAGTAGTTTTTGAAAAAATCATAACAACTCTGACTCAACATCCCAAGTAAAATTAAATATCCCTCAAGATGACCAATTTAGTTAAAAAAAACACAAAATGTTTAAAGTTCATTTTCTTTAAAAAGAAAGTTTAGATTTAGAAAGGCATTTAAAAATAGCCAACTGAGTTACCACACTTAATGATGACTTGGGCAGTTTAAAGGGGAACATTTAAATATAATGTTTGGAATTGCTATTTAGTTCAGTAACTTAAGAATCCAAAAGAATTCTTCAGACAACCTTTAAAACGCACGCTACCGTTATTCAGAAAAGTCTATCACTCAGCATATAAATGATGAGATATGAAACTACTTGTAAAAACTTAGGGGGGAATTTTGACTTACACTTCATGGTCATCTTTTTTTTTTTTCCATTTATATAAGAGAGTGCCTTATTTATGCCAAGGAATTTGATAAATGATAAAAGGTTTATCATTTATCAAATGATAAATCCTGACAGACATTATGGTCCTTAAGGAAATCTGGCTATGTTCAGATCTGTCTGAAATAGTCCCAATTAGAATGCAGTTTCATTCCTCATGGTGTCAACAGAACGCACACACCTTAAATTTAAGCACCGTCAATATTATAAACAGAACGTCATACAATGTCTAGTCTATTATTTCCCATTCACAGACAGCTGAAGTTTAAAATCACATGCATTTACTGTTGGATAAAGATTTGTTAAAAAGGACAAAAATGACCCAGGTTACTTACAAGCTGGTGTTGAGCAATCCCTGGTGTTGTGGTAGAGCCTGTGGAAATGTTTGCCACACTCGGCTGAAAATGTGACGGGCCCTACCGGACAGGAAAAGAATGCTTATGATACACATAGGTGTGTTTTCCAATCAAATCTGCCAGCACTTTATGGATAGAGATAATATAACCGATTTACATCTTTCCATGCACTTAAAAGACCTTGCCTGGGGGCACGTCTCCTCCCCCAGACTCTGGGGCAGGCAGTGAGATGTAATCTGTGAAAAACAACTGAAATTCACTCCACATTCTCAACAGCTCACATAATGGAACATAACTCGATTTCAGGAGAACTCCTCAGAATAAGTAAGAGGGGAAAGCTCTAGACAGGAAAAAAAAAAAAAAAAATCTGCAGAGAGCAAGTCAAGGGGATGGGAAAGAATAAAAAATCAATATCCACGGTTTCCACTTTCTGTTCTTCAGTTTTTTATTTAATAGGAATGAATGTTTATATCAGAGACATTTATTCCATTTTCTACTTAGAGTGATTTGTGTCAAGGACCACTGTAAGGTGGACAGGGTCTTGAGACTTCCCTTACTTTCCCCACAAACCCAAGACAGTCCTCACCAAACTTCATCCCTACATCTGGAGTCTGCTTTTTATGCAAGTGGTAGAGGTAGGGGAGCCCACAGTGCCACTACTAGGGTTCTAGAAACATCAGGAAATTTCTTACACTTCCCGGTGCCTCAGGAGGGTCTTCACCCCCTCGTTCCAAAGTTAATTAACAAGGTGGCCCTGGGCTTTGGTCAAGGGGGAACTCACATGTTTCCCAGTTTATAGGCCTGAGATGTAAAACAGGGAAAGGTGGGGGGGATGACTAGGAACAGAGTAAAGGTCAGGGTGCACGCTTTGAATTAAGTGATTTGCTAGAACATGGGGCACAGGATGATTGTAATGATTCACCAAGTTGATACGAAGAACCAAGGAGTGTCGTGGGAGAGAAAGCCACAGGTGCTTACCATGTGACATATGGAAGGGAATCTGCTCTGCCCTGTGAGAAACACTTCCTCTGTGTCGCTGGCTGGGAGCACAGCTTAATCCCTAGCACACCACGGAGGACTCATCGCAGTACAACTCCACCCGCCTTCCAGCCACACTCTGCCCAGTGGCCACACACACGCTTGCCTAAACTGGCCGCCCGGTCCTGCCCCAAACCACACCATGTGTCCAAAGGATTGCTTGTGACCAGGATGCCTCTCTCATCCGGGAAAACCCTATTCATCCTTAGAGGCCAGCTTATATATTGTGTCCACGACAACCTTTTCTGGCAGTTCTCGGCAAAACTGTCCACTTCCTGTGTCTCCCTGAAATTCTGTTTACACTTCTATCATTCACCCAGATCTGGTTCCCATCACCATTAAAACAAGCTAATAGCATTTGCCTACCTCCCTGACAGGACTGTGAGCCTCTAACAGACATTTATTTTCATATCCTCAATGCCTCATGGAGTAATATGCTACAATCTTTTTACTTAATTGAATCACTGATAAAGTTCATGCCTACCTGTGAAATGCTTTATGAATTTGTCTTTTAAGTTCAAATCTCTTGGGAATATTTCTGAAAAGAAAAAAACAACTTTAGAATTTCTTGAATGCAGTTCCATCGTTAAAAAATATCCTTATAAACACTAATTCAGAAGGATATCTGCACCCCTGTGTTCCCTGCAGCATTATTTACAATAGCCAAGATACGGAAGCAACCTAAGTGCTTGTTCATTGTTCACTGATGGATGAATGAATGTGGTATATATGTATACAACAGAATAGCACTCAGCCATAAGAAAGAATGATACCCTGCCATTTGTGACAACATGGATGGACCTAGAGGGAATTACGTAAAGTGAAAAAAATCAGACAGGAAAGACAAATACTATATGATTTCACTTCCACGTGGAATCTAAAAAACAAAACAAATGAACAAACAAAACTAGGTTCACAGAAACAGAGAACAGAACAGTAGTTGCCAGAGGGGAGGGGCATTGGGGAGGAAGCAGAATAGGTGACAAAGGAGGTCAAGAGGTACCAACCTCTGGTTATAAAATAAATAAGTCACGGGGGTGTGATGGACAGCATGAGGATATAGTCAGTAATACTGTAGAGCACATTAGAAAGGTGCCAAGAGTAAACCCTGAAAGTTAACTGTACGGTGACGGATGGTAACCAGACTTCTCGTGGTGATCATTTTACAATGTATACAAATATCGAATCATTTTGTTGTACGCCTGAAACCAAGGTAATGTTGTATGTCAATTTTGCCTCAATAAACAAGTTTTAATATCCTTACAAGTAGACTATAATGACAAGCACTAAACACATGAGCTTGTGGTTGTTCATGCAGCTGATTCCAAGTCTGTATGTCCAGCCCTCGCCAGGGTGACGGGGAGAGGTGAGGTGAGGATGCTCACCATCCTTTATAAACTTTGTCTTAGGGTGAGGAGAAGGCAAGGATTTTTAGGCAAGGGAGTGATACCATCAAGCTTCATTTTTAAAGATCATCATGCCTGGTACGGAGGGGCGAGAATAGATGCAGAGACGAGATAAAAGGTTTACAGAGAAGTTACCGTGCATGTGTCGAACAGCGCTGGCCTGTGGAGGGGTTAGCAAACTGCCCTCAGGACTCATTCTGCCCCACACCTGTTTCTGTAAATAAAGTTTTATTGGACCACAGCCATGCTTATTATTTACGTGTGGCCTACGCCTGCTTTCGTGCTACGATGCAGGGGCAAGACATTGTTGCAGACATTGTATGGCCCACCAAGCCCCAAATATTTTGAAAATGTTTGAAATAGAGAAAGGTTGCCAGTGCCTGCTCTGTAGCATTCTATTTGTATTCAGCTAAAATGGTGATTGTTTGCAGAGAGGCAACAGCGACAAGGATTCTGCGGGTGGGAGGGAAGAGAGATTTTTCAGTGCATACTCTTTTCATTAACATTTTTTAAAATTAATTAATGTATTTATTTTTGGCTGCGTTGGGTCTTTGTTGCTGCACGCGGGTTTTCTCTAGCTGTGGCGAGCAGGGGCTACTCTTCGTTGTGGTGCACGGGCTTCTCAGTGCAGTGGCTTCTCTTGTTGCAGAGCATGGGCTCTAGAGTGCAGGCTCAGTAGTTGTGGCGTGTGGGCTCAGTAGTAGTGGCTCACGGGCTCAGTAGTTGTGGCTCGCAGGCTCTAGAACGCAGGCTCAGTAGTTGTAGCGCACGGGCTTTGTTGCTCTGCGGCATGTGGGATCTTCCCGGACCAGGGCTCCAACCCTTGTCCCCTGCATTGGCAGGCGGATTCTTAACCACTGCACCACCAGGGAAGTCCAACTTTAACTTTTTTCAACGTAAATCTGTTTTCATTTTTCAATAAGCAACTAGTTAATTGAAAATGAATCTGTATTTAGGGATTAGGTGCCCTGGTGATAACTTTCGATCAACAAAATATTAAATGAAGGACTGAATATGAGAGAACTACCCCCAACAACAAAATTAGACGATTGAGCTCTGACAGAAAACAGTCTTAACAATCGGCTTCCATTATAGAAATGGGAGCCACACATGTAATTAAAAATTTTTAGTAGCCACATTTTAAAAAGTAAAAAAAAAGTTGAAAAATTAAAATTAATTTTAATTAAATTAAAATTAAATTAATACTTTATTTAACCCATTATAACCAAAATATTATCCTTTCAATATGTAATCAATATTTTAAAATTACTAGTAAGATAGTCTACATTTTTTATACTAAGTTTTCAAAACCCAAGGTGTATTTTACACTCACAGCACACCTCAGTTTGGACCAGCCGCACTGCAAATGTTCAGTACTCATAGGTATTCAGTGGCTACCACGCTGGACGGCAAAAGAATAGAATGTAGGCTTCACCCCTCTGTTATCTAAGGACAATGGTATAGATTACATGTACAGATGGATTAAAAATAAAAGGATCCCAGGACTTCCCTGGTGGCTCAGTGGTTAAGAATCCGCCTGCCAATGCAGGGGACACGGGTTCGAGCCCTGGTCCGGGAAGATCCCACATGCCGCGGAGCAACTAAGTCCGTGTGCCACAGCTACTGAGCCTGTGCTCTAGAGCCCACGTGCTGCAACTACTGAAGCCCGCGTGTCTAGAGCCTGTGCTCCACAACAAGAGAAGCCACCGCAATGAGAAGCCCGCGCACCACAACGAAGACCCAACGCAGCCGTAAATAAATAAATAAATAAATAGTTAAAATAAATAAATAAAAGGATCCCTAGGTAATGCTTGATGATCATCCTGGAACAACTTGAATAACCTATCATCTCATTCGTCCAATTTATAAAAATGTCTAGTTTTCATTTAACCAAAACAGTTACCATCTGCCACCCTCAACCATTTTTAGTTGACAATAATATATTTTTAAAGGAACAGACTTGCATATTATGCATATAATGTTGGCAAGCTTATCTCTTGTACCTACTTCTTGTTAAAAATGAGCAGAGATCATGTGAAATAATAAAAAAAAACCATAATACATAACAACTATAAAATAACAGAAAATGTTCAGTGTTTGCTTTTACTTGCCTATAACTTAATATCTTACCATAAAGATAATTTGCTCTGCCATGATCGACTCTTTACAAAGCCATGTTAGTGAATCCTTAGTAGCTTTGGAAGTACTGAAGGGCATTACTTTATGTTTTAATCTAGCATTTTTCATGTACTTGAATTGAAATGTTTGTTATATAGTTCCCTGAGTTATCATTTCCTTTAGTTAAGGAACTGGCATGATTATTCTCTTTCTAAATATATAAAAACAATTCTACTTTCAAAAATAAGAACTAGATTTATTACATCACTGCTGAGAGAATCACTGAGGGAAAATATAAGTGTTAGAAAAAAATTCACGTTTACTAATAACTCTGTTCCATGGGTCTTCTGGGAGCTTGTAAGAAATATAGAATTTCAGGCCCAGACCTATAGAGTCACTTTCACAAGAACTCCTAGGAGATTTATTTGCACACTCAAGTTTGAAAGCAGTAAAATCTAAATGCTCCAAACAAGATACAAAGCTTCTTGAACATTCAACAGTGAATTACTTCATAATCAGTAAGTTATAATATTATTACTAATGTATTTGTTGTCTGTGATTATTAGAAGACAAGACACAGAATCCTTTCCAGTAAAATTACATCATCACGGGGGGGGGGGTTGTTGTTGGTGATTTGAATTTTTATCACTTCTTTACTTTCGGGCACTACAGGATGCTCCAGGCTCATCCTGAATAATTTCCTGTCTCGTTGTTAGTATCAGTCGTTTCTCCAAGGAGCCCTGGCTCCTCTTATAGAGGATGGTATTAGAAACCAAAGTCTGGGAGTTCCCTGGCCGTCCAGTAGTTAGGACTCGGTACTTTTCCTGCCCAGGGCCTGGGTTCAATCCCTGGTCGGGGAACTAAGATCCCACAAGCTGCGTCGAGGGCAAAAAAAAGGAAACCAAAGTCTGGGCACCAGGTGTGCTTGTTGCTACTGGGGTATGGTTGTTTCCAGGCCCATGCAGTTGATGGAGCAAAGAAACATACGTGTGGTATGTATGGGCACCCTGATTTTTAATATACCTAGTGTTTAAATTATTTAAAATTGTACCCCAATACTTGCTAAAATATATTTTTGGAATGTACAGTATCTGTAATATTTCACTGATAATATTACAAAGAATTTAGGATTTAGATTTTTTTTTTTTTTCACACAGAAATAGCTGCAAAGACATCATGAAGGAAGAGGGCCTGGAAGGAGAGGTGAACAGAAACGCGTTCCAGGAGCTGGCAGAACAGAACAGACAGCAGCTACGGCATCTGCAAGGGGCCCCGCCCATGCGACCCGCACCCTGTGAGAACCACAGAAGGGAAGATGGGGCAGGTCACAGGGGACTTAAATGTCCTGCCTTCAAGAGAAGTTAGGGTTTTCTTGGAAAATCCAGAGAAGCCACTGCAGATCTGTGACTGGGGAGGAAACAGCCTGGCACTACTAAGAATATTCATTTGTACTGAAATTAACACAACATTGTAAATCAACTATAGTCCAATATAAAATTTAAAAAAAACTTTTAAAAGACACTTAAAGCACCTACTTTTCAGCACTTAGGATAAGATCAACCTAAGTAATATGTATTTTATTTTTCAAATTACAATTAAGGACTTCCCTGGTGGCGCAGTGGTTGAGAGTCCGCCTGCCGGTGGGGGGGACACGGGTTCGTGCCCCGGTCCGGGAAGATCCCACGTGCTGCGGAGCGGCTGGGCCCGTGAGCCATGGCCGCTGGGCCTGCGCGTCCGGAGCCTGTGCTCCGCAACGGGAGAGGCCACGACAGTGAGAGGCCCGCGTACCACACACACACACACAAATTACAATTAAAATGATGTATTAATCTCAAAAAAAAAAGAATATTCATTTGTAATTGTTTGTAAGAACCTCTCCAAAATGGTCTTCACATTCCTGCCTTAAGCCTCGTGCCAGCAAGGTTTTACATTAAAAACAAACACACCCAAAACAACCCAGCAACGCAAATCTAATTCCACGAAGCCTGCAGAAGAACGTAAATGTCCAGTGACATCTCTTGAAAAGGCAAAGCTTTTCCATCAAAACTTTCTAAAACTCCCCCTTACACTTCCATCTCCCGAATTGCACACCAATTCCTTCTCTGTCCCAAATTCCTCCAACCGCCCCCCCCCCAGCCCCACCGCTGCCACTTCTCAGACATCTGACTCTGTTTTCATTTCAGTGACGAGTACCGCAGTGCTCCCTTTCTTTTGCAGAGTTCTGGGAACGATTCTTTGCTCCATTCTGCTTGTGTGATGGTCAGACAACAGAGGGGAGAAGGGATACAGGTTATGAAAACACACACTTTCCATGCTTAGCCCAATGAGGCAGCCCAGCAGGGGGCGCTACCCGAGTTAGGGAGACAGTGTGACATTGTCCTGAGGCTTGAACCAGGGCGATGGGCAGGACGATAAAAAGGAAGGATCAGATTGTAGAGACATGGGGAGTGGGGTTTGGTCATTAACCTGAGCTCCTTCAGCACGAGTCAATAATGTTGGTTAACTTCGTATTCCCACGCCCATCAGAGCACGTCAGGCGTGTGCTGTGAGTGGCTAGATGAACTGATGGATGGGTGATGCGTGAACAATGCATGGGGCGGGGAGGAAGCGGGGGGCCGGGGATGGTGAATCCTGAGGGTGATGGGTACCTACCTCTCGCATCTCCTCCTTCCCAGTGCCCCCCCTCCAATTCTAACGGCATCCTCGCTGGTCACCCTCTCACCCGAGGCTTCCCCACTTACTGCTTCCCCTACGTGGACCGATCCCTGCACCTCGAGCCTCACGGGAGTGTTTAGGGAAGCCGCTGGCCTACAGAAAAGGGAGGCGCCACAGCCGCAGATGCAGCAAGGGTTTCAGAGCCCAGAGCGCATGCAAAGGCCCGGGTGATGGTGTTTATTATGTCGCAGAATCACGGGGTCAGAATTCCCGAGGTACCTGGCAGGGATGACAGTCCTTAGCCTCCAGAGCCTGGGAGATGTTTCCTCCTGAATGAGCTGTGAACCCCACCACACCCGAGTGTGCCTGTGAGGACCACCTGGATAGGGCCAGCTCACGTCCTTGTTGGTCCCTGACCCATGTCCGAGTGTCCCCTTCACTTTCACAGACTCAGATACGGATGTAAAGAGTCACCCTTCCTCCTCACGTCATCCAAAGACTACCTCACAAACAGCTGGAGAAAGCAACCGATGTGGTGCACAGATCACGCTCTGCCGGGCTGTGTTGTTTTTTTTTTTTAAACTTTGGATTGTTGCCACTTACATTTTAACTTTTGATAAAATATTCTTTCTCCCTAGAAACTCACTTCGGTAAGGCTTCAGCCTTTTACAGAGAAAAGATCTGTTAAACTTCAATGACACAGGTCTGAATTAACGTTACCACAAATGTTCCAGTAGTCGGAGACTTTCTCCCACTCTTTAACTTTCCAAAGTGACTCCATTCTGAGATAAACATTGGGGCCACGAACAGCTGCAAGTCCGAGGATGCGAAGGGTGTGGTGCCCTCACTGCATCACTGCGGTGGTCACCGTCCCTGCCCAGCTCCCCTCCGGGAAAGCCCTGTGCGTCCCCACCACGCTGGAAAGCCCTGCCCAGCCCTGGCCGAGGTCCTGGAGCTCAGTGACCCGTATCAGCTTCCTGGACCTTCTCCATCCCCTGCCCCCGCTTCAGCCCGTCACTGGCCTCCTCTTTGGGTCTACCTGTGCGCCAGCCTCCCCGCCTCCCCACCTAGAACGTGCCCTCAGAGCGCAGACACCTGACTGCCTGCTCCCCTGGGTGGCCTCGGCCTCTGCATGGTGACTGGCACGCAGCAAGTACTGGATGAAAATTTGTGCAGTGAATATGTATATATTTATATCATAACTATCATGAAAGAAAAACGGTCCTAAGAAACCCCTCTCTGCTTTGTTCAAAGCGAAGTAAGAGGCAGAAGAGCGAGGAGATGACAGCAAGGCTGCCGTGGGCTGCGACCTCTCAGCCAGCGGGTGCGGGGGGGCGGCCCCACGGAGGGGCGCCTACTGCGGCCGGGCTGGGCGGCCAGCGCGTCCTAGCTCCGCAGGTGCGCGGGCTCCCAGCAGAGGCGCGTCTGAGCGGCTCCCTCCTCCTGCCCCACCCCGGCCTTCCTGCCCTAAGCGAGCCGCAGCCCCGCCGCCCCTTCGGGCCGCTTCGCCCCGGGCTTCTCACGTTTACTCCTCGTTCGGCCGCCTCCTCGCCGCCTTGGGGTGTCTCAGAACCCCTCGTGTCGGCTACTTTTTCTCCCTTTTCTCATCCCCACCACTCGTTGGGCAGCGAAGCAGCCAGGAACCTGGGCGCGCAGAGCTGATCCGGGAGCCGCGGCGGCGGGTGGAGCCTGCTTAGCTACCCAGGCCCTGCGCCAGCTCCAGGGGGGGCGCAAAGGGGCGTCCCGGCGCGCGACGCCAGGGCCCTGGCCCAATCCCCAAACCCGGGCTGGCCCGGAAAGAGGCGCCGCCAGGTGCTAACCTGTCCGCCCCGCCTCGGCCGCTGGGACTGAAGCGCATGTCCTCGGGCTCCGGGCCCCCGCTTCCGAGGCCCGGCCTCTCTCACGGGGAAGGGGCGCAGCGAGCCGGTTCCTCCGCGAGATGGGTTTCTGGATACTTACGTCTCGGCCGCGGTACGTCTCACCAGCTCATTGCCTCTTTCCCCGAGCGCCCGCCGTCGGCGGAGAGCGCTCCCGGCCTGTTCCCGCGGTGCGCGAGCCGGGCCGCCCCGAGCGCGCGCCTCTCCGGGCCGCACGAGTCCTCCCGCCCCGGGCTCGGCGCACTGGGCAGCGGGCGCGGGGCTGCTTACCTGCGCTCCGGGAGGCCGCGGGGAGGGACAGCCAGGGCTTCGGCTCCTCGCCGGCGACGCGCGCGCCCCTGCGGCCCCCGGGCCTCCCCTGGGTCCCGCGCGGCGACAGGACCAGCGCCAGCAGCAGCAGCGCGGGCAGCCGGGTGCTTGGCCTCGCCGGTCGCATGGGCGCGCGGGAGCGGCCGGAGGGAGATCAGGCGGGTCCCGGGCGGAGGCAGAGGGTCCGCGCCCCGAAGACGGACGGCGGGCGACACCTGCGCGCCTCGGGGAGGGACGCAGGACGAGGACACGGGCGGGGACGCGCGGCTGCCCCGGGGACCTGGGCGAGGCCCAGCGCGCGGATGCTCACAGGTCCGCGCGGCCTCCCCGACGGCCCCGCCTCGGCTCTGCGGGTGTCCGGGCTCCCCGCGCAAGGCCGGCTCTGCCCGCCGCCCCGTCCAGCCCACGGGGATCGAGAGAACCAACTTCGCGGTCGGGACCGAGGGGAGCAGCGCGATAGCGGCCCGCAGCGGCGGAGACGCAGCTGCTGGGAGGGAAGGTGCGGGTCCCCTGTGCTCGAGCCCCGCCCCCAGCCCCTCGCCCCGCCCCCAGCTCGGAGCTGGCGGAAGGATATAGAAACGACTGTGGGGCAGGGACTCCCCATCAACTATCCGTCAGGGAAAAACACCCTCAGACCATATCACCTTATGGCTGAAAGTCTGCCCTTTTACCAGCCTCTCCCTGTTTCCCCAGCCCAGCCGACCACTTTTCTACTCTGTTTCTATCAATTTGACTTTTAAAAAATTCCATACGTAAGTGATATCATGCGGTATTTGTCCTGTCTGGCTTATTTCACTTAGCATAATGCCCTCCAGGTTCATCCAAGCTGTCACAAACGGCAGGATTTCCTTCTTTCTCATGGCTGAGTAGTATTCCAGTGTGTGTGTATGTGACGTCTTCTTTATCCATTCATCTGTTGTTGACCGACACTTAGGAGGTTCCGTACCTTGGCTATTGTAAATAATGCCGTCATGAATATGGGAGTGCACAAATCAATTTGAGATACGGTTTCAGTTCCTTTGGCTATAAACCCAGAAGTGAGGCTGTGGGATCATATGGTAGTTCTGTTTTCCATGGTGGCTGCACTAATTTTGAACCAACTGGGAACTGACAGTGCACAAGGATTCCCCTTTCTCTGCATGCTCACCAATGCTTAACTATTTTTTGTCTTTTTGATCACAGCCATACGAACAAGTGTGAGATGATATCTCACTGCGGTTTTGATTTGCATTTCCCAGATGGTTAGTGACATTGAGCATCTTTTCATGTATCCGTTGGCCATTTGTGTGCCTCCTTTGGGAAAATGTCTATTCAGTTCCCCTGCCCATTTTTTAATCAGGTTGTTTAGGGGGTTTTTTGGTCTTGAATTGTGTGTGTTTTTAATATATTTTGGATATTAACCCCTTAACAGATAGATAGTTTGCAAATATTTTCTCCCATTTAGTGGCTTGCCTTTTCAGTTTTCTGGATGGTTTCCTTTGCTGTGCAGAGCTTTTTTCTTTTTCTTTCTTTCTTTCTTTCTTTCTTTCTTTCTTTCTTTCTTTCTTTCTGTATGTCTTCTTTGGAGAAATGTCTATTTAGGTCTTCTACCCATTTATGGATTGGGTTGTTTGTTTTTTTAATGTTGAGCTGCATGAGCTGTTTATATATTTTGGAGATTAATCCTTTGTCCATTGATTCGTTGGCAAATATCTTCTCCCATTCTGACGGTTGTCTTTTCGTCTTGTTTATGGTTTCGTTTGCTGTGAAAAAGCTTTGACATTTCATTAGGTCCCATTTGTTTATGTTTGTTTTTATTTCCATTTCTCTAGGAGGTGGGTCAAAAAGGATCTTGCTGTGATTTATGTCATAGAGTGTTCTGCCTATGTTTTCCTCTAAGAGTTTTATAGTGTCTGGCCTTACATTTAGGTCTTTAATCCATTTTGAGTTTATTTTGGTGTATGGTGTTAGGGAGTGTTCTAATTTCATTCTTTTACATGTAGCTGTCCACTTTTCCCAGAACTGCTTATTGAAGAGGCTGTCTTTTCTCCATTGTATATTCTTGCCTCCTTTATCAAAGATAAGGTGACCATATGTGCGTGGGTTTATCTCTGGGCTTTCTATCCTGTTCCATTGATCTATATTTCTGTTTTTGTGCCAGTACCATACTGTCTTGATTACTGTAGCTTTGTAGTATAGTCTGAAGTCAGGGAGACTGATTCCTCCAGCTCCATTTTTCTTTCTCAAGATTGCTTTGGCTATTCAGGGTCTTTTGTGTTTTCATACAAATTGTGAAATTTTTTTGTTCTAGTTCTGTGAAGAATGCCATTGGTAGTTTGGTAGGCATTGCATTGAATCTGTAGACTGCTTTGGGTAGTATAGTCATTTTCACAACGTTGATTCTTCCAACCAAGAACATGGTATGTCTCTCCATCTGTTTGTATCATCTTTAATTATTTCATCAGTGTCTTATAGTTTTTGGCATAAGGTCTTTTGTCTCCTTAGGTAGGATTATTCCTAGGTATTTTATTCTTTATGTTGCAATGGTAAATGGGAGTGTCTCCTTAATTTCTCTTTCAGATTTTTCATCATTAGTGTATAGGAATGCAAGAGATTTCTGTGCATTAATTTTGTATCCTGCAACTTTACCAAATTCATTGGTTAGCTCTAGTAGTTTTCTGGTAGCATCTATGTATAGTATCATGTCATCTGCAAACAGTGACAGCTTTACATCTTTTCTGACTTGTATCCCTTTTATTTCTTTTTCTTCTCTGATTGCTGTGGCTAAAATTTCCAAATCTATGTTGAATAATAGTGGTGAGAGGGGACAACCTTGTCTTGTTCCTGATCTTAGTGGAAATGGTTTCAGTTTTTCACCATTGAGTATGATGTTGGTTGTGGGTTTGTCATATATGGCCTTTATTATGTTGAGGGTTAGTTCCTCTATGCCAACTTTCTGGAGAGTTTTTATCATAAATGGGTGTTGAATTTTGTCAAAAGCTTTCTCTGCATCTATTGAGATGATCATATGGTTTTTCTCCTACTGTTTGTTAATATGGTGTATCACATTGATTGATTTGCATATATTGAAGAATCCTTGCATTCCTGGGATAAACCCCTCTTGATCATGGTGTATGATCCTTTTAATGTGCTGTTGGATTCTGTCTGCTAGTATTTTTTGAGGATTTTTGCATCTATGTTCATCAGTGATGTTGGCCTGTAGTTTTCTTTTTTTGTGGCATCTTTGTCTGGTTTTGGTATCAGGGTGATGGCAGCCTCGTAGAATGAGTTTGGGAGTGTTCCTCCCTCTGCTGTATTTTGGAAGAGTTTGAGAAGGATAGGTATTCGCTCTCTAAATGCTTGATAGAATTGGCCTGTGAAGCCATCTGGTCCTGGGCTTTTGTTTGTTGGAAGATTTTTAATCACAGTTTCAATATCAGTGCTTGTGATTGGTCTGCTTATATTTTCTGTTTCTTCCTGGTTCAGTCTCGGGAGGTTGTGCATTTCTAAGAATTTGTCCATTTCTTCCAGGTTGTCCATTTTATTGGCATATAGTTGCTTGTAGTAATCCCTCATGATCTTTTTTATTTCTGCAGTGTCAGTTGTTACTTCTCCTTTTTCATTTCTAATTCTATTGATTTGTCTCTTCTCTCTTTTTTTCTTGATGAGTCTGGCTAATGGTTTATCACTTTTGTTTATCTTCTCAAAGAACCAGCTTTTAGTTTTATTGATCTTTGCTACTGTTTCCTTCATTTCTTTTTCACTTATTTCTGATCTGATCTTTATGATTTCTTTCCTTCTGCTAACTTTGGGGTTTTTTTGGTTCTGCTTTCTCTAATTGCTTTAGGTGTAAGGGTAAGTTGTTTATTTGAGATATTTCTTGTTTCTTGAGGTAGAATTGTATTGCTATAAGCTTCCCTCTTAGAACTGCTTTTGCTGCATCCCATAGGTTTTGGGTCGTCGTGTTTTCATTGTCATTTGTTTCTAGGTATTTTTTTATTTCCTCTTTGATTTCTTTAGTGATCTTTTGGTTATTTAGTAGTGTATTGTTTAGCCTCCATGTGTTTGTATTTTTTACAGATTTTTTCCTGTAATTGATATCTAGTCTCATAGCATTGTGGTCAAAAAAGATACTCGATACGATTTCAATTTTCTTACATTTACCAAGGCTTGGTTTGTGACCCAAGATATGATCTATCCTGGAGAATGTTCCATGAGCACTTGAGAAGAAAGTGTAATCTGCTGTTTTGGGATGGAATGTCTTATAAATATCAATTAAGTTCATCTTGTTTAATGTGTCATTTAAAGCTTGTGTTTCCTTATTTTATTTTCATTTTGGATGATCTGTCCATTGGTGAAAATGGGGTGTTAAAGTCCCCTACTATTATTGTGTTACTCTCAATTTCCCCTTTTATGGCTGCTAGCATCTGTCTTATGTATTGAGGTGCTCCTATGTTGGGTGCATACATATTTACAATTGTTATATCTTCTTTTTGGATTGATCCCTTGATCATTATGTAGTGTCCTTCTTTGCCTCTTGTAACATTGTTTATTTGTCTGATATGAGAATTGCTACTCCAGCTTTCTTTTGATTTCTATTTGCATGGAATATCTTTTTCCATTCCCTCACTTTCAGTCTGTACATGTCCCTAGGTCTGATGTGGGTCTCTTCTAGACAGCATATATACGGGTCTTGTTTTTGTATCCATTCAGCCAGTCTATGTCTTTTGGTTGGAGCATTTAATCCATTTACATTTAAAGTAGTTATCAATATCTATGTTCCTATTACCATTTTATTAATTGTTTTGGGTTTGTTATTGTAAGTTTTTTCCTTCTTTTGTGTTTCCTGCCTAGAAAAGTTCCTTTAGCATTTGTTGTAGAGCTGGTTTGGTGGTGCTGAATTCTCTTAGCTTTTGCTTGTCTGTAAAGGTTTTAATTTCTCCATCGAATCTGAATGAGATCCTTGCTGGGTAGAGTAATCTTGGTTGTAGGTTCTTCCCTTTCATCACTTTAAGTATGTCCTACCACTCCCTTCTGGCTTGCAGCGTTTCTGCTGAAAGATCAGCTCTTAACTTTATGGGGATTCCCTTGTATGTTAATTGTTGCTTTTCCCTTGCTGCTTTTAATATTTTTGCTTTGTATTTAATT